TACTTAAATATTCATTCACATTCACAGTCATCATATAGGAATTGTAACATTCACTATGACTCGATTAGTCAGCATAATCTCACCATAATTTATTTTTCAAACTCACAGCCTTCAAACCAAATTCTAAGCCACTCCGCCTAATACTTCAAATATATCGGCGTATTTTCTACTCGCGAAATTCGAGCCACCGGCGGCGCCGTCATTCACATCAGTGTCCCGGCTTTGCCTACCCTGATCTCTGACAAACGAGGTTCGTCAAAATAATATTAATTCTCTATAATAAATTTGAGTTCCGTTTACTATCCGCAATTTTAAATGCCGTGAATTACGAATTCAGAACAATAACTATTTTAAGGACCAAACCCCTCAATTATGACATTGCTACGCGCCACTACGGATGAACAAAAGGTTAGTAACAATCTTAACCGCCAGATGGCGCGTACATATTGGTATATCAGAAGTAGAAAATAATTTCGAGAAAGTATTAGGTCAGATATTATCAACTAAAAATAAAAATGTATATTACTATAGCCTGTTTTGAAGAGTAAAATGATAGTTCATTGCGCAAAAATGTTGCCGCTTACAAGCAGCTAGTGCTTGCAGTCAATAAACATTCTATCAATTACCAACTGAATGTTGGTCATGCTTATGCAATAAATAGCCGAACTTTTTATATCATCATCGGCCCATTATTCTTTGACTACTTTGACCACTATTTTTAGAATTGTCAATTTTTATAAATTCGTACATACATACAATGCATTTAGAACTATGTCTATTAAAAATGCAATGAGGAGATATAGTTAAAAGTTTTTCATTTTAATTCAATATACATAATCGAATCAGCCTGTACTTATTATAATGTATATGAATAAAAATTGATTACGACATTAGTAGGCCAGCTGTCAAAATAAGAATAAAGAAGGCAATAATGCAATTAGTAATCATTAGAACGTTGTAACATTCACAATTCAAGACATTTTCAGCAAAATTTCACCTTCTTTCACAATCTATCGATAAAACTCGAACAACTTAAAATAACTTTTTAAATTTCATGAAAACTGGCAACCCTGCAAATGTTATTTTACTCCATCTACAAAAAGACAGACTATATACAAAAAAATTATAATCCTATCTCTGACGATGCGGTTGGTATAGTTACAATACTTAATTGATTTTGTATAAACATACAATATTTTTAAATACAGAAATTAGACATAGTTTTCGAGCGACATACCCGTCATGATGTTGAAACAAAATATTTGAAACAACTTCGAAAGAAAAAACAGCTGCCGAATTCAAAATTAAAATTTCACGTAATTAAGTATTCAGTACATAAGTACCTCATTAGTACGTTTTCAAAACGCAATAAATAGACGGTCCTACTTCTGAGTGCAGTCTACATCGATCAAACGCTTCTCGGTTTTGAGGTCAGCGAATAATGCCGGCCATTAGCGGTCATTATATGCAAATAATATTACACATTAGCCCACTGCGAGTAGGGGGCTTTCATATGAAACGATCGACTATTTTCGATGTTTTAATATACTTCTTCTGTAGTCTAAACTACTGAACGTTTGAAATAGTAAGAGCGTATATACACAGCGTATTTTTACGCACAGATAACGCGCGTCATCTGCGCGGAAAAATATGTCGTGTGCGTAGGCTCGTAAAATAAAAAAAAAACTATGTACTTATTACAAGTATTTAATAAAAAAAAAATGTTTCATCATTGCCGCTTAACCTTTACCACACGAGTTGTTTTAATAAAATTGTCATAACCGATTCAGTAAAAGCTTTATTCAACTTAATGGAGCGTGACAATTAAGTAATGAAAAAGTTGAAATCGCAACCGATTGGATGAAATTAATCAATGGCGACCAACCGTCAATGGAATGGATATTTTATGTTCCCGTGGGCGAGGAGTGGGCACCAATTTGTCCGCACTTTTTAATTAGTATGAATGCGAGAGAAAACGAATTGGTTTTATGCTTGCCCCAACTGGACATCCAGTTCGAGGGCGTAAAATTGGAACATTAAGCAAGTTTATGTAATATTTTATAAGTTACTTCACGTATCAGGTGCATTAAATTAGAAATGCAATTGAAATTTATTCAAACTGTAAGCCTATATGTTTCGAATAGACTTTACATAATCAGCTTATGCGCATTCACTAAAAAGTTCAGCCAGCCAGCCAGATCAAAATATTTCCCCATGATGTGTTTTTTTTTTCGAAATATTTGTTCTAGTCTGTCTCTATCTATTTCAGTCCAGTCGATCCTTACTACGAATATTACCCAGTCCATAGAAACAACGATTTTCCATCACATTGAAATAATAAAATTTGATTTAGTTTTTAAAATAGTTTAAAGTTTTCCATAGAAATCCGTTCAACACAAGGTTTTATTATAGTATCTTTATGATAATATTGTTAAGGAGTTGATATGACCGCTTAACGAGTGAAGACAGTGTACGATGAGGTACACTGGCGGGCCCCTATGCAGAGAAGGGCGAGAGGGACCTGTGCGGGGCGCGGGCCGATGCAACGTCTTCCCCCGCCCCCGGCTCTAATTAGGCTCACATTCTCGTTCCGTTTTCGCGTTTAATTTCGCCGGCGGTTTCGCCTTAATTACGTTATTCGCGGCAGACGGGCGCCAGGGTGTTGCTCTAGCGGAACCTTGCACTAAAAAATAAGTGAGCAATACGTGTAATTCATAAACACCGCTTATTTATGCTGCACGATGAACTGCCTGACAAACTCATTAAATTTTATTTTAAAATTTCTCTTAATGTTAACTAACTAGGTATAGTTGTTGGAGCGAACGTTCGTTCCGACTCCATTTCAACGGTCGAGTTTTAACGATGCTTATTTTAGACACCATTTTCGTAGAATCATCGCGCTTATTGCCGCTGACAAATACTTACAGGTTCAAAAAGAGAGCGAGGAAATATAACATTCACTAACAAGATGACTTACAGTTTTACCGTCCTTCGACACTCGAACCTGCAGTTCATGGCTATAATTGAAAAAAAAAATCACTTAACAGGTAAATACGGGGCTGTAAGGAGGCTCATCGTAGGCCCGTTTTGTTGTCGGGTGGTTGCTAATAAGATTTTTAAACGGCAACAAAGTATCCAATCAATGGGGCTTGAATAATGAAAACAGCACCTGCTAAGTTCTCAGGCCACCCCCGCAAGCCTAAACACGCACCATGTTACGCGACGTCTCACCCCCAGAACCAATTACGATTCTGACTATATTGAAATAGAATTCACTTCGCCATATCGGATTTCGTAGTCGACCTGGATGGTAGAACAGACACAAGTTTGAGTAATTATTCACGATTGTGTTCGTGTTCAAAACTTTGACATAATTTTTTTCATAATTTATGAATTTGAATTTTATAGATATGAAAAAGAAAATGGAAGTGCTTGTACTTTTAAAGTAGGTATTTTTCTACACAATTTGAACATCGAATTATTGCAATCATGCCGCGCTTAACAAAATGGACTAACTGTCATAATATTCAATGACAACCAGTCTATAATTTCAAACATTCCTTTGTTCATAGCGAAAATTAGCTGTAGTAAATCCAGCTGAATACGATAAAGTCAACCGATTTGTTATTTTAAGCCTCTACAAATTGCTTTACGGGTATCTTATATCAGCGATTACAATCTTTCCTAAACTACACTACATTTCCTTTCTCCAAACAGAACGCACATTTGCAAAATTAACAAAACAAAGACATTAATTCGGGTCCGTAGAGCGTACTCCGGGTGCGACTTAACGAAGTGCGATCGGTGCACACGCGACACTCGCTCATTAGTAGACACGCAACGGTTGCTGGTGCTTTGCTTACACGCCACCATCGCTAGCCGCCACTGCCAACGCGGCGACCCTTATAGCCTTCATTAGACATGCTCGCCAACAGGTAATGGCTTTCCACACGCTCCCGACAGTTGCACTACTAGGTCAGTGCAACTATGCAACTCACCACAGCATCTTACCATCTATTTATTAACTTCAGCTACAGTACAGCCAATTAATCAAATCAGAAACTCTCCGATTAAAACAACCCTTCATTATGTCGGACACCGAAATTAAGCAAATTACATTCAACAAAGCAAATCGTTCCAAAAGAAAGGGCTACTGAAATAATTGTCTACTTTACTCTCGGAGAAATAGAATTACAATCTAAATTAATTACGCTTTTAAAGCGTCCGTTATTCTTAATTAGTTTCTGCACCGCAGCGGAAGCTCCGCACTCCGCCCGTGCTTCGCGTTCTCTTAATGAAGGGTAGTTTCAAATCAGTGCGTTTGATCAACTCTGTGCAGTCTTAATTACGGCACCCATTTCGCGCGGGACAATCCTGTTATTTATGACTACATAAGCTTGATTATTCTTTAATGAATACTTGTTTTAAAACGTTTAATTAAGTTTTATGGCGACAGGGTCGCAGCGAAGGCGCGGGCGTCCCGCCGTTTCGCCGGCCGCGAGCTAATTGGATCGGGTTGACGTAAACCCCGCGCCCCGCTCTCTCTCGACCTACCCCTCCGCGCCCTCACCCCGCTCCTAATTGTATGAAATTGCTAATTGGAAAATTTTATAAACGCGGCCGCCCGCAGGCCTACGTTATCCGCTATATTCCGCCTAAAGGCTGTCAAGAAAAATGAATTCAAAGGGTCAAGCTCTTCCTGGAAATTCCACTGTAGCCATTCAGAAATACGTGAGCATAATAAACACCGTTGAGCCCCGGAGATGAATCGCTAACAAAGCTCCACCTCGTCACTTTCCAGTGCTTCAAAAATGCTTTCAAAATTCAAATAACTACTGAGATATACGTTTACCTTTATCGATAAAGCACCATAACAACGCACCATACCAAAGACACGTTGGTATTGCAATTACAACGTCATTACCGGCAATCATAAAACCAATTAGCTTCCACCGAAACTACGAACTTTATCATTGACCACGATCTATGTTTGTTTGCAGGGCGTGTATCGTGGTGGTGTGTGCGAGCGGGCGCCGCTCCAACCGTCAAGCTGGCAGCGAGCGCGCTGAGCATGAACCCGCACTACCACGGGTATGGGGAGCTAAGCTCGCCTCACCCGCCCTCCCCAGAGGCAGCATTTGCCGCCAACGGGCACGACTATCCACACAACAACAACAACCCTGCACTAAAAGAGTGCGCGGGTTGCGGCGGCAAAATCGTCGAGCGATTCCTTTTACATGCCCTCGACAGATATTGGCACCACGGCTGTCTCAAATGCACATGCTGCGGACAAGCTTTAGCGGACATGGGCAGATCCTTTTATTTCAAAGGCGGAATGATATTATGCAAAAGCGATTACACAAGGTAAGCACTTGTTGTATGATAGACTTTACTTACATTGAACAAGTATGCAATAGAGTTAATACAGTGGTAAACGATATTTGATTTATTATTCGACTTCAAATGGTTATTTCTCCGTTGATTATCGATAAAATAGTTCTTAGTTCATCATGATACATCTGCCGATGACAATAGCGTGTCTGTCAAATGGATCAATCGTTGAAAAAACGTCGGGAGAGAGCCGCGGGCGCATTGTTATGAAAATGCTTTCAACTGTCGGTCGTGATTTCTACCTGAGTCAGGGCAGCACAAAAAGCAGTCAGTTTTGCACACAACGAACCGATCGAAGCATCTCGGCACTGGCTAAATTGGCCTCGTTAACGCTAAGGACTAATTTAGGACGGAGCTCACAAACTTTTTACATCAACTCTTTCGTTAATTAAATCTTTTGTCTGTCAGTGTACCGCGCCCTTGTTTATTTACGAGAAAATAACGAAATATTGTCAATTATGGAAATGTACTGTTTTTTCTTACGTTATTAAATAACAAACTACTTCATTTGCAATAAAAGACTAATCTTAAGAAACAAATTAATATAAGCACAAAACGAATGTAACTTTTTGCCAAGAACATTGAGGTAATACGTACGTAATGGCCAAGAACTTGCATAGAGCACTGACAGCTGGTTATTTATAGTGTCCAATAAAATACTATTAAAATTAATTTAAATATAAAACGGTGCAGATAATGAATTAGCAGTTCATATAATTTTTTCGGACACCTTTTTGTGGCGCAAAAATGTAGAATAGAGTTCGATACTTTTACGATTTTGTGGTTGGTTTTGTGACAGTCATATATATTTTCATTGACAAAAACAAGGCAAGAGTGCTAACGGCGGGCGGCAGAGGCACGTGGACCGCAGCTGCCTCGGGCGCCCTCCACACTAATTAGCTAAACGCGAAGAATCTCATCCAATTAACCACCTATGGCCTCCGCCCTCGTCTCTCCTCCACCCCTTTGCCCTTTCGTGTTTTGTCATTTCTACTCATTATACTTTTCTAAGATTAGCTCTGCTAATTATCACAAACATATGTGATTTCTACTTGCACGCAACATTATTACTCTTGTTACCAATATGTAACGTGTTCACTATATTCCCTTTTGTAATTATTTAATGTTCTTCGTTTATTTAACTTAATATCTCAGTTATTTATCCTGTATTTGACAATAAAGGAAGTGTAAATTAGTTTCATACTGATTTCACTTGTTTACTGGCGGTTATGAGCCAAACTAGAGCGAAGAGTGGGCCAACCGCGACGCGGGTCGTGCGTCGTAGATTCGATAAAGCTCGTCTCACAGTTGACAGAGACGGCGCGGCCTAACGAGCGGCGAGGGGCCAGGGGGACGCAGGGGGATGAAGAAGTGCGGTTCCGTGCATGTCTCTGCTGATTGACCCGCGTCACTTGGCAAACAACAACTAACGAGTCGACCCCCGCGCCTCCAGGTACGGGTAATTCGCCTGAATCGCTCCCGTGGCGGCCGCCCGCCGACTTTACTTATACGTCTTCTCTGATTGAGACTCCTTAATAAAATTAACGCTTGACTTGCGCAAACAACCGCGCCGTTTATCCGCCGCCTTTTGTCTCGATATGATGGATTGCGGTCTCGCTCAACAAAGACGCTGATAATTTCATGCTGCTGATTACAGGGTGTGTACGCACAGAATTAGCCGAGGTGTTACACGTACGTCGCCAACCCGCGTCGTCGTCGCAGTACACAAAGGCGTCGGAAGCGTTACATAAACATAAAAGCTTAATTCGTATTTTATAATGATTTATTACACGTTTATTGTTCGAATGAAGACATTAACGTTCTCTGCAATCGCTCCGCTAAATTCAAATGCATGTATTTATTTCGGATAAAAGTCCATATTGCTTTAGAAGAAATAATTATTTTTTTATAATATCAAGTGACGGTAAGCTACACGCCATTCCATAACAGTTGCAGTGCCATTCAGAGCCTTAAATCGCCACCCTGAGACATAAGTTGACAAGTCCCATGTGCCTGTAATTTCACCAACACTCTTACCCTTCTAAACCGGAACACGGTAATGCTGTAATTCCTCGGAGATTTTGGTTTCAATCGAACCAAATTTTCCACCGCAGCGAAAAGTTACAAATGCGTGTTTACAAATTGCAAACTAGTGTTAACTTTTAAACTTTCTTTATTTGTTTCAATGTAATCTGAAAGCTTCGTGTAACATTATAATTATTTAAGTAAAATTAAATAGTGGCTACATTACGAAAATCACGCTGAGCTTGACAACAACTCTTGACACTTACAATAAAAGCCAAAGTGGAAAGTACAAAGTTCAGCGTGATTTGACTGTACGTTAAATAAATTTTGGCGTTTACCTAACTTATTTAAGATAACAGAAATTATTTTTATATGTACATTATGTAATAGATGAAGAAGTTGTCGTACGTATAGACATTAGAATTGACTTTTGGTGGTCTTAAAAAATCCACATGTGGGGTCGAACGGCAGCCGGCACGTCCACGACTGAAGCGGGTTCGTTAGGCGCACAGGGCGGGGGCGCGGATGCGGTACGCGGGGGGCGTCAATCAAGGCAATTGCTGCTCAATCGGCAATCACCGCCGCCGCTAACGAGCGTCTCGACATGCCAACTTCTTATCCCCACCTGATGGTCGCAGCCCCCAACAAACGCTCGCAACCAGCTAAACTTTTTCATATGTAAAAACACAATTTAGAAAAGCTTATAGTTTTTAAAAAAGGTAAGAAACTCCATTTTTATTACTTGAACTGGTAGAATATCTAATCCACTTTCTTCTTCTGTGAAAATTTGCACGCAATGTGACGCAATCTAAGCATTCTTGAATTTTTAATTTCACTGGTATTTATTAAAACGCGTGTCCAACGCGGGCCGGGACCAATTTAAGCGTCGTTAAGGCGCAAAAGACGCGCACTTTAATTGCGACCGACGCGCCGCCTCTAATGAGGCCCTGTGTCCCGACTTGAACGCCAAGCAAATTGACATTGTACGTAAATTGACGCCAAACTGTAGCCAAAGGCTGTACTATTTAGGCAAGCTCTCAGCTCCAATTGGAAGATAGCAAAACTCAATAAAAATTTCTATTGCTAACGGAAACCGGTTGCATAACATTTTTTAATTCCCCTTTCTGCCTGTCAAAAAAAGTACAACTAACATTTTTATCAAAATTGAGATATACAAGTTGAGGAAAAAAGGCTAATCTACCTAATTTGTCGTCAAAATCTATGTAAATAATTGTTGGATATACACCTTATAAGACACAACTAACATCAATAATCACATATCTACCAAAAAAGTCATATTTGACATTTTTTATGTCAAAAACGCTAATATCAAAAGCCTATTCTGTGTACGGACTTGAATGTGGGTTTTATCTGTGTTTGTAAAAATAAGCCAGTGTTTAAATTTTTATTAAATTGATATACAATTATTTTTATGTGAAATTAATCCACTAGTTTGTTATAATTATTAATACAAAGATCGAACACTCAGAAATAATTCCTTCAATCCGGCCGGATTCGAACGGCGTCTTCGAATGATATCAATTCAATAAAAATTTAAATACTATGAATAGCGACATCTCTAGCCGGGACTGGTAGCTGTAAAGGTATCTAACTGGGTGACGATATATCATAGATTTCTCATAGATGGCGCTACGGCTAAAAAGTCGTTGAAAAAATAAATACAAAGATACGACGCAAGCACATAGAAAAATTCGTGAAGTCCGCTGGTTCGTTCCGTGGCTTAGTTGGTATAGCATCTGGTATGGTATGCTAGAAGACGTCGGTTCGGCCGGATGGCCGGATCGAAAGAATTTTTCTGAGTGTTCGATCTTTGTATCAATAATTATAACAAGGTAGTGTTGTCGACTTTTGTTTGTGTAAGACCATAGTGACACAACTCAATATTGCAGTTGAGTGCGTCTGTTTCCTTGTAGTATTATCCCTCGTCCCTCTAAAAGTGGCAGAAAGTTTTATTTGAGATATAATGGTGATAGCGTCTGTCGTCCTATTTGCTCTGAGGGATTTCTGTACGGAACTGTGCCCTGTTGCTCAATTATAATAATTACATCACTGCTCTTGTGCTGTACTGTGTTCTTTTGGTCTATTAAAAGTGACATTTAAGTTAGTTATGCCCGATAAATGCAGTAATATTTTATTTTATTTTTTCTAATAAAATAAAGGAGAAAAGAACACTGGCGAACTCCATCCAAATTTTTGTTGACCTAATTTGTATGCTGTTTATGAAAAATATTTGAAAATATAGAGTTTAAATTCCAGAGCAAATTTGGTTTTGAGTTAAATAGTAAATATTCTGAGAAGTCTGAAATAGAAGATATTCTAGTTTTAAATTTTGGAGACTATGTTGAATCATATTGATTGAATAAAATGTATCTGGTGTATTATTATATCAAAATAAACTACAGAAGCCTTAAATAAAAGTTAATAATTAGACGCTGAATGGTGCCGTGGGTTTATAACGTGACGAAAGTTCAGAGGAAATTATTTTATATAATGGTATGGTCAAAAAGCACGAAGTTAAGCCATAACAAAAGAAAACTAAGTTAATACTGGTAGCTCGGATACAAATTATTTTTTATGAAACGGGATAGATGGGCATCCCTGATATCGGGAACTTTTTGTCAGTTTTAGCGCTTTCTTACTTCGAGAAGGAATTATTTACTTTATTTTTAAGATTTTTTATAATAAAGTAATTAATCTTTTTATTTGCTGCTGGATGTCGCTCAACGTTAAGAAACTAAGAAACTGACAGTTGTACAGAATCTGAAAGATATCACGGTATCAGTCCGGCTACATACTAATTAGTCATTTGAGTTTCTTTTAAATTCGATTTTATTTCCAAACTTAATTTGGCCTTTAGTATAATATAATTGGAAAAACTTAATGAATTTATTTTATTCAAACTTGTAATTATGACATTTGAAGTCGCA